GACACATCTACTTGATTGTGTCGATTGCGCTTTTCGATGCGCGTGAAATTCATGATTAAAACCAGGTGAAGTTGCTATTTTTCTGAGACAATCTATTCTCTCTAGGACTCGATTTGTGACCATTTGGGTAGCTCTGGATGTGATTCGAGCGATTGTTCCCAAAGGGTCAAAGTTTCAACAGGAAGCTTTGTTGAACAGAAATATATGAAAATAGGGTCCCCTTGGTTAACTTCTACCTTATGAGCTTTTTATATTGCTAGACAGTCGCTAACTGTTTATTGAATTCTTTTAATGTTTTTGCTGCATTCAGTCTTTGCAGTCGAAACGTTGAATAAAATCTTCAATTGACTATCTACCAGTACCCTTACATTTTTATATCGCACTGATAACGCTTCCCATGCTAACGAGCCAGCCTTTGTTGTAAAGTTTTTGCGCTGGTGTAAGTCTGGGATGGTTCCCATTAATGGGAACCATAACTTCCATAGAAATCTTGGGTGTCACATGGAGGAACTTTCGCACAAATATCCGACACATCAAATTCGGTATTTGAACTATAGTCATTATTTCTTTTAATTTGTCTGTTTTTTAATACTTGCAACAAATTAGGCTTTGTCGTTAGAAAATTGTCTCTGGCGGACGCAAAAATATCTCTAGATCTTAATTTGTAATCTTGATCTCCCTCATTAAAATAGACACTTTCAAATGCACTGCCTACATTGTGCCAATCTTCATCCATGAATTCTAATTTTGTTTATATTAATGAATCAGGCAGCTCGTTCTCTGCTGTGCTTCCTATCATAATGCAAGTTTGCATCAGGTTTTTGGTCTCGTATTCATATCTAGCATACATTTTAGAAACGCAATAAACGTTTACTTTTTAAAAATTAAGAGAAATATAAACAATATTTATTTTTAGATTAATGTATATTGCTGATTTATGTGCTTTTTTAATTAAGTATTATTTCTATTTACTTGTTCCAATTAATTTAATTTTGTTATTATTCAATTGTTTGTTTATTATTATTGTGGTATTCAATGTATGTACTATGATTTGTACGCTACGTTATTCGCCACACAAACTACACAACTCTTTTTCACCACACCAGCTGATCTATAGTCGAACAATGGCAGACGACAGACCGATCACACATAACGATAAAACAGAAGACAAAAGCTTGTTATATTTGTTGCTCACGAATATAAGCAAAACAAATGTAACAAAATGATGCAGCAAAGTGAGAGTGGTATTTTTATAGTGTTAGTGTATGGGCCAATTTCAATTGTGTTAAGCAACAACAAACATACATACAAAAGAATTTTTCTCTTTAAAATTACTCTGTTGATTAATTGCCTTTATAAGGCTTTCAAGGATCATGTACAAGTTCCGATACAGGCGTATGGACTTGTGGGGGTTCTAAATCTACAGAATAGATTTAGAGCCGAAAGTATTTGTTGTAAAAAGACGAACAACAATAATTATGAATACTAGACAACCCAACAAGTATGCAGATGATACTTACGTGTTGCTAATTAGATACTGGTGGTGTAGGTAAATGAAACACTTGTTTTAGTTAAAAGACTCTGGCGGTTTAAGTATAATTTTATTATAAAACAATTCTATTTTTTGTGCTAAATGTTCTGCTTCTTGCTTCTTCTTTCTTAGTGATCGTCCTCTCTTGATGACAACAGTTAATTGTTGAGGTATCGATTGATGGCTCATCGGCGTCATGAACCAGAAACCTCAACACACTCTTTCGTAGTGAAACTTCAAAACAAAACAAAGCATCGGGTAGTTCAGCAATTGCTAATGCTGTTATGAATGCTAGAAATGCCAAACGACAATTAGAGAAGCAAACAAGACATAACAAAACTATCGAAGCTATATCTATGGGTAAGGGTTTGTATTTAAAACCCTACAAAAAAGGTTTTGGTATTTACTTGAATAATACATCAGAAAACTAATTGAGCAACTACCCAACGCACCACTTACTGACAAACAAATATATTCTTTTGGAAAAAAATATATACCGCGCTTTAGAGGTGTATATATGCGCAACAGATTACCTAAGATGCCATATAAGAAAGAGTGTGGTATTATAAATATGGATAATGATAGTGGACCTGGCACGCATTGGGTAGCATATTATACAGATGATAACATCATCACTTTAACACATACAAATGTGGACACCTCTGTTTAAAGTTCTTAATAGAAAAAAGCTTATAAATACAAAATTTAAAACATGAAATTGGTTAGTTCAATTTAATACTTCCATGACGATGCAATCAATTGATAGGTCGGATATTGTGATAGTGGATTTTCAGTTTTGTCATGGAAACCACAAGAGCATATTTATGAAGGAGCTGTTGGAAGAGACAAAAAACAATTTCTACAGAAATATCTCACTACTAACATAATAAATTTAGAAGACAAAATTAGCTAAGAACTGTCGAAATTATTTTACTAACTGTTCAATACATTCAAGCTTTGTGTATAAATGTGCTATAAATAATTTATTTAAAATATTTGTATTTATTGAGCAAAATTGGAACAAAAACATGGACTTAATATATGATGAAATCAATAAAGAATAATAAAAAAAAATTTTTCTTATTTTTTAAATATTTTATTTATAAGATTGAAGGTTATTATTGTATATAATATTATGAATATTGGTGAAAAAGGATTCACTAATGTACGACTACAAACATCTAGTCCCAATTCTGGAAGTAGTACATCTAAAGTTTTAGGTGCTGTGGGAATGTTGTTTGTAACACATCTTCTTAATAAAGGACAGCTGTAAGAATTTCTCACATGTTCAGATACCGGGCAATCGGTCTGTTTCCAACGATGAATATACACTTCACAAAAATAACATTTTGTTACATTGCCTACTCCAGTGTAAAATAGTCCCACTGCTGCCATGGTTTTGGGGTCTGGATAGGATAGAGGCCAATTTGAAAATGTTTTCAGACTTTCAGTTTCCTTATTTAGTTGGGGGTACATCTTTCTACTAGGAGCTCCACTCACAAACTGTGAAGTGTAAATGAAAAACCAAGTTGATTTTATTAAATAATACATTATTTATTTCTGGATTTTCTCTCACACAACAATAACATTTTCGTTTTATATTTAAATATAATGTCTTATGTTATTCCCACCATGGATCATTTTCATGATTGCCCTTCAGTTATGTGATATAGTCATCTCCATTGGCTTCACTCTCTGTAAGTATATGACTTTCATTCCTTGTGGGTATTTCATTTCTAAGGAATTCCTCGTCTATTGGTATCATCAAACTATAAAAAGCCTCCAATTGAGAAGCCTTCATCATAAGATATTCATCAATTTCCGGATCATCCCATCCTGCATCCTTTTCCAAGCATTTGCTCCCCAAATTTGTTGATGACATATTCTTCACGTTTGTTGTTTCCCCGACTGAATAACTTTTAACAATGATATTTAGTCTTATATTCTACAGATGCCAACATTTTCATGGAGAAAAAAAAACACAAAAATTTCATTTCAAATATAAATTTATTTTTATACCCTCCACCTTGGAAAGGAGGGTATATTAACTTTGTCATTCCGTTTGTAACATCCTTAAATATTCGTCTTAGACCGCATAAAGTATATATATTCATAATCAGCATAAAATTCTAAGTCGATTTAACGATGTCCGTCTGTCTGTCTGTCCGTCTGTTGAAATCACGATACAGCCCACACTATTTGACGTAGAGGGCCAAAATTTAGCAGAGCTATTTGCATTGTGTCTAGGATGGTTGGTATTGAAAATGAGATATATCGGTCCACGTTCTGGTATGGTCCCCATATAACGGTACCTTCCGATATTCGGTATTTTGATGATTTATGCCACATTTTTTCACGGATTTGTCTAAAAATTGGTATATGTGGGTCATAATGGTTCCAGCTCCGGTGGCGAAATATTGCATGTATGGGCCCATGATTTGGTATAGCCCCCATATAACGGTACCTCCCGATATTCGGTATTTTGATGGTTTTTGCCACATTTGTTCACTGATTTGTCTAAAAATTGGTATTTGTGGGTCATAATGGGTCCCTGATCGTGTGGCAAAACATTGCATGTGTAGGTCCACGTTTTGGTAAAGCCCCCTTATAACGGTACCTCCCGATATTCGGTAATTGGATGATTTTTGCCACATTTTTTCACGGATTTGTCTGAAAATTGGTATTTGTTGGTCATAATGGGTTCCAGCTTCGGTGGCGAAACATTGCATGCATGGGTCCATGATTTGATATAGCCCCCATATAACGGTACCTCCCGATATTCGGTATTTTGATGGTTTTTGCCACATTTTTTCACTGATTTGTCTAAAAATTGGTATTTGTGGGTCATAATGGGTTCTAGTTCGTAATGTTTTTTTACTTGTTATTTATTTATATATTTTTTTTTTTTTGTATTTACTAAGCTAAATATGACTGATAAAAGAAATTAGATTTTTTTGCTTCAATTCCAATTTGTATAATGTGTTATCTCTCTCGCCTCCCATTGCTGATTTTGATATGGTATATCCACCGCATCCCAATTCCTTGACGTCTTCTTCTCGTAGTGCTAGGAACCTAGATGGCAGGTAAAGTATAGCATCATCCAGTTTAAGCACAATTCTTTCACCATATTTGGTTTGGGTTCTGTATGCTCCACTGATAACGTAATCCCTGTTTTCATCCATCTCCTTTATTGTGATAATCCTTTTGTGGTTGTAGGAGTTGAATAAATTTACAAGATTTACGCTCGACATTATTTCTATTAGGCTTTATTTCACACTGTTTTCAACATTGCCCTCCTATTTATATGAAAAAAGTTGTGTTTTTTTCACCCATACCTTCCCGCCAAATGGAGAACACAATGTAATTTATTTATTTATTTATTTTTTTTTTGGTCAAATTCGCTGAAATATTCTATTAATTCTTTATAATGTTCATTATTTTGAACTATATAATTTAAATCTAAAAAATTCTAATTAATATAATCCTCAAAATCATCAAGAGGTGGACATAATACGACTGATGAGATAACCACTGCTCGTTCCGGCAGACCCTCTCGTATCCTCTCATATTCGTTTTCTGTTGTGTCAGTGATCGTGATTTCGCCATCGTCTCCAATCTCCCTATATTCATCCACATCATCGTCCAGGATTGTGGACTGAGTTTCCCCCTCCTCATCCTCCTCGTAATGAGTTCCATCTTCCATAGTTGAGGAGTCCTCTGTTGCTTCACCATGGTCCTCCAACACGTCTTCCATTTCTACATTCTCCTCATCCTTTTTTGGCTGACCCTCTCGTATCCTGTCATATTCGTTTTCTCTTGTGTCAGTGATCGTGGTTTCGCCATCGTCTCCAATCTCCCTATATTCATCCACATCATCGTCCAGGATTGTGGACTGAGTTTCCTCATCCTCCTCGTAATGAGTTCCATCTTCCATAGTTGAGGAGTCCTCTGTTGCTTCACCATGGTCCTCCATGGTCTTTCATTTCCACATCCTCCACATTCTCCTCATCCTTATTTTCCTCGATGAGACATATGTCTATGTCACCTTCTGTATCCTCATAGAAATTATTGACATCCACATCTTCAGAAAGTATTTCGCTGAACGCAAAGGACATTTTAATTTTTAGGATGCTAACTTTGTAAAGGATTTTTTAAACTGAGTATATTTCTCAAGATTTTCTACGCTTAAATACTAATATATTGTTTACGTTAAAAATCCTTTCGAATAAAAAATACACAACTATCTAATACATAATATAGTTTAGAACTTATTTGAATGTTTCAATACAAAATGAATCATAAAATGAATTAGTTTTTTTTTTTCTTTTTTTTCATGTGATTTTTTTTAAATACATCCTTTTTCTAAAATATTTAAATGCAACAACTATTGGGGAAAGCAACGGCATTTCCTTTACGTTGTCCCCTTAACATAAACACACCAATATTTTATCATTTGATCCTCAAGAGATAATATTAGACAAACATGTCATATTAGGAAACATCGAGAACAAAATATGTTCTACAACTCTACTTCTGTAGTGATGGGTCAAACGCATTTGTGAGGGACCTTTCAAAATAATTTCAAGTACATTTTTTATAACTTTTTTTTGATAATATGTGCCTCAAGTGGTACAGATAGGATAACACCAAGTGAAGTCTGGCTTAAGAAAAAACCAAACAACGCACACTTACACACACACACACAGTGGTTCAAACATTCCCAATGTAAAATAAAAAACCCAAACATAAAAACTAAAAAACCAAAACAAAAAAAACATATGAGTCTCATTACATTTTTTATTACCCTCAAGTGATGATGATGGCTGAATGTAGGGATCAAATGCATGCGCGCACCCGACTGTAGGGATGTGTCCACGCTAACATAATATGAAAAACAACAACTCTAGACAAATTTCTTTCTAAGGGCGCAAGTGTTCTTACTCATGCAACAACAACGCCCAAGCCTTAATATAGGCAACAAAATGTGCAACAGCAAACAAAGGGCGCCAAGGTCATTCAATCCACAGGGAAAACACAAGTGAGAAGAATTAGGGTCAAGCACACGTCATATACACATCATATTAGAACTAAACGCATTTGAAGTAGGGGGGGGGGGGGGATAATGGACGCATCTTGTAAGCGGAAGTCCTAGGTCGTAAAATTTTATGGCGCTTGCCACTTCCTACCCTAGATTACTACTACTCCGATAAGCAAAAGGCCATACCATCTTCCCTTTATCTTTTAACGTAAAGTTTACTGAATTCATGTTGCCATATTTTATATTGATAATATGACAATGACAGCAAAATATATTTAAATAAAGAAATGGATAACGTAAATCATTTATTTTATATTGAAGAACTGAATTATAAATTTATTTCACTAAGTTAATTACAAATTCGTTTTGTTTATTATTTTCAACCTAAAATGAAGATGCCATTGTGAAAGAAATGCTGTGACTACCAGTTACTTTTACAAAAAGCTTGCCATATCTCTGTGAGAAATGCATATACTTTAAAGGAAAGATGTAATAATGAGAATCCGATAATGTGAACTTTATTCTTCACTTTTCCTAAAGTAAGGGATAACAAAAGTGGACTATGGCCCGTTCTTATATCTTACCTTTATAGTTCACTTTTGTTATACCTTACTTTAGGAAAAGTGAAGGATAAAGTTCACTTTATGGGACTTTCATTATTACAACCTTCCTTTAAAATAATTCCTTTTTTTTCAGAGATATGGCAATAAATTGCTCTCAATGATTACTTTTTTGTAGATGTAACTGGTAGTCATTGCATTTTTTTTCAAAGTGGCATCATTATTTTAGTTAGAACAAAAATAAATAAAAAGAATTTGCCTTAATTTCGTAAAATAAATTTTTGCAAAAAAGTGAATCGAAAATGGATAACCAAACGGAAGCCCGTCATAGAAAACGGGCCAAAAATTTCTTAAAAGAAGAGGAAATGTTGCTTGTGAACTTGGTAGATGACCACAAGCATATTATTGAGAACAAAAAGTCTGACTCTGTCGTTTGGAAGCAGAAAGAAGCAGTTTGGAAGAAAATTGAAGACGACTTCGCAGCCAGTATGGGATTACGACGACCTTGGAAAGCACTGCGTGATAAATACGAGGTTATAAAACGTAAGTCAAAGATTGAACTGGCAGAACAGAAGTTGGAAACATATCGTACGGGTGGTGGAATGGTGACTTGTAAAGTATCTACTGTTTCGAAAAAAATAGCATCCATGCTAGGAGATTCCGCAACAGGCTTGGAAAATATGTATGATAGTGATTTTGGTAAGTTCTTTGTACAAAATGCTACACTGAGCAATTTTATGACTTATTGGTATTTCTCTTGCAGTTGTTGAACCTGATTACATTGACTACAGTGAGCTAAATGCATCTAATGAATCTATTGAGGCAAGCAATAAAGAAAATGTAAGTTTCATAATAATTGCTCTGTTCCAGTACCTGCAAGAATCTACTAGTTTTGCAATTTTATTCGATATCATAAAGGGAAGATCTGTTATCGTGTAGTGAAAACTATTACCTTCTTGCTGTTCTGGAACAGACCAAATTCTTGATTTGTTGACAAAACCCACCGTAAATCTACGAACAAGTTTTAGTTGATTATACAATAAAGAAGATCGTTCCACTAGCTAGGTAATGTTCTAGAAGTTGGAAAATTTTAAATTACTTGCTCTTAGCGATTTACATGGGGTTTCGAGAAGGCAATTCTGTAATACTTTAAGTAAATTTTAAGTGACAATTGATGTTTTATATATTATTTTTTATGTTTATATTTTTTAGAACAATCCCATGAATGTTTCAACAGAAGGAAAAGACTGGTCAACCGACTTTTGCCCACAGACTTTAAAAAAGCCTAAATCGAAAGAACTGGTTCACGGCGGCAAAAGAAAACGCAACCTTGAGGAAGAAAAACTTGAACTTGTTCTTTTACAACAGAGCTTTTATAGGAACGAGAATATTCGTGCTCAGGAGAAGCATGAAAACGAAGAAATGCGTGCTCAAGAAAAGCATGAACACGAAATATCTTCATTGAAACTAAAGAATGAAATTTTGCAGTTAGAGTTGGAGGAAAAAAAGTTAAAATTTTTAGAGTAATTCGAATGTATTTTTAAATATATCTTGTAATTTTTAATTGTAAATATATCTTGTAATTAAAAGTAATATTATTAGCTATTCAGCATTTAAAAGACTGAAAATAGATTAGAAATGTTTAATAAAAACTGAATTGCAATTAAATTTGTCTAACAAAATGCGACGTTTCTTTCACTAAACGACTGGCAGTAGAGACACTTACACCACAAAAGTCGCCAACCGTAATTAGGAAACTACCGCTAGCATAGAACCTTAATGTAATCAGTAGCTTTGTTCTAGGCGACACGGAATATTGCCTAAATGGGAATTGGTTAGTAATTATTCGATTTATGTTATATATTTATACACACTTTGACACTTTTGCTTCTAATGAAGGGCCAACTTTTTGTAATAGTAATTGGAATGTGCGTTTTGAAATTCTGAACCTTTTCATAAACTCCCTTTCATCATAAAATTGTAGATAATCCACTCGTTCACGATATGTCTTGGTCGCTCTTTTTTTTGCTTCAATGTTTGCGTAAATATCTTCCAGTTCTTCAATATAAAATAAACGATTGGCGTTATCCATTTTTTTTATTTGAATAAATATTGCTGTTATTGCCATATTATCAATATAAAATATGGCAACATGAATTCAGTAAACTTTACGTTAAAAGATAAAGGGAAGATGGCCTGACCTTTTGCTTATCGGACAGTTCATATTTAAATGGAACTTGTAATAACGAAAAACGATTTATCTGTCCGACAACATCACTTTTTAATCTATCGGGAAGATGTAACAACGGGCCTATAAAGGGAAGATATAAGAACGGGCCATAAACGAGTAAATAATAACCGTCTTAAAAATAGCGTCTGGTGGAGAGGCACAAAAAAATAACCTAACTTTTTTTTGAAATTTAAAAAAAATAATTTGTAAAACAAGCAAGCGTCTGGTGGACAGATATACTTGTGATACAAAGCCTACAAATTTATTTGAATTTTTGGAAAAATGAAATTGGCAAACAAGCAAGCGTCTGGTGGACAGACGTACATTTGAAAATTAAATCTCAAATTTATTTCAAATTTGGGAGAACAAATTCAATATCGGAGTCTGGTGGAGAGACATAAAACCTATGTACTTACAATATTTATTTTTATTCTAATTTTAACTTTTTTTCCCGTTTAGCAAAATATCTATTGCTCTAACGAGTATATTTTTTGAATTTTGTGACAATTTTTTTAAAAACAAAAAAAAATTTTTTCTTCTTGTTACCTTTTTTCACTTTTCTTTGCTGAAATATTTGGATTTTGATCCAAATTATATTCCTTTAAAATATTTTGCAGGGACATAATAACTTTTTGAAATTTTTGTGTTGAATAAAAAATGTTCTCCAAAGAAGGACACAATTCACAAAAAGATAGACAAATTAAATGAAAAATATGCCTGAGATATGCAGTACATAAGTATAGCAAGCATAGAAGATAATATATATATAGATTAGAGGCATCCAGAGTTCAATTAGATTCAGAACACATTATTTATTGGTCATTGATTTTTTTAGAAATTAATGGGCACATTCAAGCAAATACGCAGAAAGAAGTAGAAACAGGTAAAAAACAGTAAGTTCGGCCGGGCCGAACTTTGAATACCCTCCACCATTTGGAAGGAATTAGAAAATTTTCAAAAAAAAAAAATCTATTGAAAATTCTGTTAAAATACTTGATATCGAAAGGTGCCGATATATGGTGGGATATACGATGTTGTGGACCTATATAGACAAATCTATGTCTGGGTGTAAAGTACTCACCAGGAACAACTAGTGTGGATTTTCAGATAATTCCATTGGAAAATATAGCTAAAATCATCAAAATACCAAATATCGGGGGTACCGTTATAGGGGGGCGATACGATATCGTTAACCTATATAGAGAACTCTATATCAGGGGTTAAAGTGCTCACAAGGAACCCCTTGTGTGGAATTTCAGACAATACCGTTTAAAAATGTGGGTAAAATCCATCCATTCCATTGAAAAATATGGTTGAAATCATCAACATGTCGAATATCGGAGGATACCGTTACATGGTATCGATATTGCGGACCTATAGAGACAATTCTCTTTCCGGGGGTGAAATACTCATAAGGGACTCCTTGTGTGGAATTTCAGACAATACCGTTTAAAAATGTGGGTAAAATCATCAAAATACCGAATATAGGGGGTACCGTTATATGGGGGCTATACGATATCGTGGAACGACATAGCCCATCTTCGAACTTGACCTGCCTGCGGACAAAAGAGAGATCTGTGCAAAATGTTAGCTTCCAATCTTAATTCGTTTAGACTGTAGCGTGATTGAAACAGAGGAAAAGACGGACGGGCGGACAGACCTGTCCTCCGTCTTAGAATTTTACACTGATCAAGAATATATAAACTTTGTTGGGTCTAAAATGATTATTTCGATGAGTTACAAACGGAATGACGAACTAAATGTACCCTCCATACTATGTATGCTGGAGGGTATAAAAAAGGAAACGAGAATCTCTTTTCAAGACTGACGCCGTTCGACACCGATATATTTAGTGGAGGATGTAACAACCGTGTTCTAAAAGCATTTAGGGAAATAATACTATCTCGATTTAGCGCACGAAGTTACTCTTTACCGATAACAGATGCCAGTTCACCAGTTCGCCGACAATTTACTGCGCCATATTTAAATTGTGTAGAAATTAATATAGATACTGCTTTTTCTACCTCAAAAGATTCCCAAAAGTCAATAATGGACAAACCCACCCAACCATTGCGTACAAAGGCTTTTTACAAGCACCAATACCAGCTTCTGGAGTCGCTAAAATCCTGTACGGTTGCGTTCACGAGGTTGACAGAGAAGGAAACGGATGTCCTGCGGGAAAAAACGCCGGGTCCACACCCGCCCCTAAGCCATCCAACAGGGCCAACACCACCGAACCCAAAAGAGGAGGTCCCACAGCCCAAAAAAGACACGACGTGAAGTATCATCGTCCACACCGGTAGTAGTCGAGACTATCGTCATCTCATCTGACCATGAGGTACCGTCTCCCCGCCACGAAGAGCACCTGCGGTGCACGATTACCCAATCACCCCTCCTCCTACGGTGGCACCCATGGCAGCCAGATACACCCTAACCGAGTTACCACCAACTCCAGGTCGCACCCATTTCACTGACATGGGATTTCCACTGACGCCCGGACGTAACATAGGCTTGGTTCAGTATGCACCGGTCTCGGATTCGAAAACCGAATACGCCAACCACATATAAATCGCCGATTGTAGCAAGAACCAAGCCCGAGCCCCCCGACAGTATCCAGTGAGTTGAGGCCATCTCATTGCAATGTCGGGAAACGTTAGCAGACGAAGTTAAGTGCGGCTTACAGCCACGTTTGCGAGAAGCCCTTCGCCCCTGGGTGCCCCACCACTAACATTAGCGAGAATTCACCATTGGAGAGAAAATGCTCCGGGTCCACGTCAATCGACAAGGCAAAATTGTTGTGCGGTTGTTGTGAAAGCAGCCGGCTCATTTAGGGAGGGGAGGCAGTTTGACGACGAAAGTCATTTCGTTTGTATTCGTCCCCAATTTGTTATTATTAAATTTCAAATTTATATGTATAAATAATGAATTATTTATATAAACATGAATTTTGAAAAACTCCCTTGAGGTGTCGTAAAACACTTCGGGTATCTTCGTTTTAAAGCCCTTGTGTTCTTCGGGAATTAATCCCTTGATGTGTCATAAAGCCCTTCGGATCTCTTCGTTCTAACTCGTTGAGGTGTCAAAAACCCTTGGATTCTTCCGAAATTAACCTCTTGAGGTGTTTGAAGCCCTTGGGTTTTTGGGAATTAACCCCTTGAGGTGTCGTAAATACCTTCGGGTCTCGGCGTTTTTCACCCCTTAAGGTATCGTAGAGCCCTTGAGTTCTTCCGGAATTAAGCCCTTGAGGTGTCGTAAAGACCTTCGGGTCTCTTTGTTTTAACCTCTTGAGGTGTCAAAAGCCCTTGGGTTACTCAGAAATTATCCCCTTCAGGTGTTTAAGACCTTGGGTTCTTCTTTAACAACCCCATTGAGGTGTTCAAGCCCTTGGGGTATCACCGTTTAACCCATTGAGATGTCTAAAGACCTTGGTTTCCACGTTATTCAATCCCTCGAGGTGGGGTACTCCGACAAACACAGGAGGGTAACCAGCACCGAGAGAACCGGAACGTCCTTTGTACCGCTAAATTTGCCGCTTTATATATATTCTTACAAGAGCTGTTAAATATAAGTAAACCCTAATCAATTCTGAATAAAATAAATATATTTGCTTAAAAACCTAACAACTTGCGTTTTTTACTCTCTCGTGGCAGATCCTAGACCCCGCGAGCATACCTCAGCAAGAAGAAGGACATTTTTTTAACTTATTCAAAAACAGAATATCAGAAATTATTGAAAAGTGGGTTATGAGCGATGACGCCATGTTGACGGCGTTAAAATATTATTTACGCCGTCGAGCGAATTTGACGCCATCAATTAACATAGGCCATCACATTGAAAAGCAGAGGGGTCTGAAAGGTGTTTTTTCACACACACACACACCCACAACCCAACTGTAAGCAACCAAACAATTCCCGAAATTCCAACAGAGCAACCAGTAAATTGGTTTGCTGTTGGATTCTTTGCTCTGACTTGAGTTAGACCTTTCATAGTCGATAGCCGCGCCGGTATATTTTTCTCCCCTCCGTATATTAAAGTTGAGTGTAAGTAAACTAAACCCAATGAAGTGGTTATATAGTAAAACTTACATACTACAGTATTTTTTGCTTACCTGCACAATCAAAAATTGCACGACATCTTGTGCAGCAATGCCCAAAATGCAGGTAGCTTCATTGCACTTATCTGCACAATGAAGCAGGTATCTTTAATTTTACTTACGTGCACAAAAAGTGCAGGTACCTTTAATTTTCTATTCGTATGTATTTGAGCATCAGTGGTATTTTATCCAGCATAACCATCTTTTAGTGTGGGAGAGGAAGCGAGAATATGTTTTTAATGCATGCTCTTTTCTTGTGTTGTTATTGTTTTTGCGAATACAAAAACGAAGTGGTAGTTTTTAGTGTCTTTTTTGAGTTTGCAAAAAATTTTCTTGTGCAGATAA